ATTAACACCACACACATCCCCCGGTGATGTAAAATATATACGTCATTGGCCTGAATTCCTGACACCCAAGTAACAAGTGCTAACATTTTGATTGTCTGCATCCATTTATTCAACTGTCACATCAAAAAAATAATGTTTTGGATGATACATTAAAGCAAGGGACCATCTCCCTTTTTAGGTGAATATCCACGCAACGAACACAGACCTGCTGTGTGTTCCCCACCTCCGTCCCAACACCCCACGTGCTACCATCGGTGGCTGAGCCTTCTTCAGTCACTGTAGCTTTCACCTCTGGAACTCCTTGTCTCTATCTCTCCATCTTGTCCCCTTGCTATCTTTCTTTAAGTCCCACCTTGAAACCTATCTCTTTGACCATGTCTACGGTGACCTCCCCCTTCTCCGTCTCCCTTGCTCAGTGTCCAACCCCTCCACTGGGAAGCGATCCGAGACATTCTATGGGAAGGGCACCTTCCATGCAAGCTGTTGCTAAAGATACCAAGACACTGTTCAAAAAGAGAAGAATCTCCTAATGTCCTGGTCAACTGTCCTCCAGTTTACTTTCGACATTCACTGTGTTTGGTTTGAGGAATCTTACTGCCTTAAAAGGCTGCCATGATTGCCTGTAACTATCATTCACCACATTTGATAGTAATTACTTATGAAGCGTTTTGAGATATGATAATGCACCATAAAAATGTAAGTTCTCTCTTTTGTCCTTTCTTTCATGATTCCAAGACCAGTGTAGTACTCAATATTACATGTTGAGGTACCTCAGAGTTCTGCAGTTTTACTAATATACAATTCAATTTACATTTATGTAGCATTGTTCACAGAGGGAGAACATCTGAAAGCACTTTACACAGCTGGCTAGGAACCCGAGCTGTGGGGAGGGGAGTAGAGGAGCTGAAGAGGGTGAGGAGGGAGAAAGATCACTGAAGAAGTGATCAATAATATATGAGATACAGGAAATTTCATTATATATTTAAAAAAATCAGAGGATAAAAAGTAACCATCATCCATTGATATTTTTGGTAGGATTCATAGTAAATTAAATCCAATTGTCCCCAGGGCCAAAAATTAAAATGTCTACAATCCGGGCTCTTTGAAAGTGATATTTCGCACTCTTGTTACTTGTGTCACATGGCTCTTCAAAGGTGGTTGACCTCTTTGTTTCTCATTTTCATCAATGGCCTGACGGATGTTGTCAAAAGAAATGTTCACTTCTCTAATGGCACAAAGTAATCAATAAGTTGTCTGCAAGACAAGCAGTAACCAAATTCCACCTTACAAATACAAACGATGTGTTATCTTCAGTTGAGAACAAGTCAGTAATTCTGTCGAGAAAGATTGATGGTGATGTTGCCCACCCAACTGCATGCCACGAGGGTGGCAAAGTGGCTTTGTTTGCACATTGTCAGCTCCTTGACTTGATGATCATATCTGATTTGGGCAAACATGTCCTACACATACCTGGAAACATTGGTGGTGGAGTTGAAGTCCTCAAAAACTCACCACAAACAACTTAACTTCTGTGTTTTTATAGCGCCTCACCGGGTCAAAATGTCTCAGAGTACTTCTCTCGTAAATACTGTCGAGTTTAGTGACTGTTAGTCTGAAATATTGATTGTCCAGCCTTGGGATGTCCTCCCGACGTGAAAGGCGCTATACAAATGTAATTTTGTTGTTGTTGGTATAGAAAATATAGCAGCCATTTTCACCACCTCAAACAACCATGAGGTGAGTAACTATTGGCCAAATGCAGGGAGAAACTCACAGCTGTATCCACCAAGTTTGATTGGCGGATCGCTTTTCCGGGGATAATAATCCTTAAAAAAAAATTGGTCACTCAATCCATGACTGTTTGTGGGACACTGATGTATGTAATTGGCTGCCACATTTCGCCCCCAAATATACAGTCAATTCACTTTAGAGTATATTCTGTGAAGGGCTTTGAGACGTCTTGAAGACGTGAAAAGCTCTATATCAAATGCAAGGATTATTATTATTATTTATTATTACTGGTCTCTTTACACGCTCATACACTTTTTTGTTGTAACTTTTTATATTTTTCCATCACACCCACAACTTTCATTATTTCCAACACAGAAGAGTGAGGAGGCAACCTACTCCTTGATCAATAAAGGCTGGGGATGATTTGCGTTCTGATTCTTCCTCTGTCTCTCGGGGTGGAATGAAATGATGGCCCTTGCCTCCCATTTCACATCTCCTCTCTTATATGCCTGAGAATCTAGAACTTACCTTGTGGGGAACTATTGAATTGAAAATAGATGGCCTCTCAACACGAATTGGCTTTGTGCATCGCAATGAAGTAGCTCTAGATTAGTTTTAGTAACACAAATTCCCTTTTCGTTTATTTGATATTTCATGTTTTATCATATAATAGTCACACCACTTTACAGAAAATCCCATGAAGCACTTTGAGACATCTTGATGATGTGATAAGGTGTATTATCAAATGCAAGGATTTTTATTATAATTATTGTAGAGTGATTGACGTCTTTTTGTCCACTATGCACATTGATGAAAACAGGTCAGTCACACTACAGTAGCTTATTTTCCTACAAAGGCATGGTCAGTACACATCACAGTAAAATCCTGTGAAGTGTTTTGAGATGTTTCAATGATATTAAAAGGGGCTATAATCAAATGGAAGGATTATATATTTACCATTTAACATTTTTTTAAACTCTTTGTTGGGATGTTGGTGACTCTGACAGTATCACTATTTATTGCCTATCCCCAATTGTTCTGAGAATGTTATGTTTTACTCTAACACAACATGATCTATAACATACTACTACATGATCTATCATGTCAGTTGTCACATTAGCCACCTTGTTAAAGGACAAGTCACTCTAAGATAAGTATAAGTAATGATAGTGCTAGACATTTACTTCTAGATCAATATAATTTTTTTTGAAATAGTCATTCAGTTTTTTTAAAACAAATTGCTTGTAAAATGTTCTTCTGTAGATGACTATCATTTTTTGTCAGGAAAAAACAAAGTATAATGCTGTGGTACGAAAAAGAGGCCATTCTCTTGGAATGCATCACTCCTGGTTAGTGTCAGTGGAACAGTCTATCGCATGTTCGTAAAATTCATTTCTGTATTTGAAAAAAAAGTCACAATTTGTTCCTGATCATATTATTGATCCCAGTGAGAGTAACACATAATAAAACAAGGATGCGTTCCAAGAGAAACTCCTTATCTTACTTCAACTTTTCATGGTTGCTCTGTTTGATGGCATGGATGAATTCAGGGCTCCATGGAAAGCAATATCATACTTATAAAATGAATTATTCAAAAATTTTATTTGGAACGCATCTGCAGATATTATTGCTCATCAGAACCTCTAAAACCTATTTCCCCTATTAACACAGGTCAAGATGTCTGCAACATAAATTGGGTTAACTTGATATATAATAATCATCCTTGCATTTGATATAGCACCTTATCACGTCATCAAGATGTTTCAAAGTACTTCACAGGAAACTGGATTGACTATGTATTTTGTGGGTGCAATATGGTAGCTAGTTTTATTTGGGGAATTTGCTGGCCAGAACAATGGGAGACACTCCTCTTTTTCAAATAGTGCCTTGGGATCTTTAACGTCTAACTGAATAATCATACAGGACCTTGGTTTGAGGTCTCATCCAAAGGATGGCACCGGCAAGAATGCAGTACACCTCCTGCACTGCGTTGGAATATCAGCCGAGACTATGTGATTCCAAGTTCCGAATTGGGGATTGAACACACAACCTTCAGACTCAGAAGCAAGCGTGCCATCACTGACCCAGCCTGACACAAATCAAAACAAATCTTTTTCGGTTTGCAAAACTAGGTGTCATTTTCGATTGATTAGTATTGCTGAGATTGTTTTCAAAAAAAATGTTTAAAAGATGCTTTGCAAAATTCACCAATATTGAACATGGCAATTTGTTCCCCAAAAAACTTTGCACAGAAGACTGAGTGAGCAGTGGTTGAATGGAGATGAATTATTGTTGTCCATGCTGCAAAATACCAGTTACAGTGCTGTTGTTGTTAACAATTGCTCGAAATGATTATAGGTCTGAGACTACCTTTTCCATATGAAACATTTTTTGTAAATACATACGATTTGCGCAGCTGGTCTAGGTAAAATTCATAATGTTTTTGTGTCAAAAGGTTTGCAGGGGTTTTGATCAGATCACCATCAGGCTCTTTCCTGAGCAGTTAAGAATAATGGGCACTGGTAGCAGTTTAAGTAATAGAACAGGAGCTTGCCAGCTGTATCAAAAAGTGAGGGCCTCCCATTGATTGCTCCATCAGTCACTCAACCATAAGGTGATACGTTACCAGTCAAATTTGTTTCCCAGGCCCTCTGCAACAAACACAAGATCCTCACCAGCTGCTTTCTTTTAGCGGCCAGTTTTTTCCTGTGATGCATGAGCTGGGCTACCACAACAATATCCATAAGAAGGAGCTCGGGAACTCCAGAGCAGCAGTGTAGAGGTGGAATTATCCCTCGTGCACTCAATCCCAGATTTAGATTGACCTATAAGATGCCCTTCCACTTAAGACAACCACAATCTCGACTGTACTCGTTTCATCCATGGTGACATTGGTTCTTGTTCTTTATCGATTTCTGTCAAGACAAATGTTGAGCCTCCAAGCTATTGATGTAGTGCTCAGCTGTACTTTTCAATTAAATCAACTGTGGCCAGTCCTTCAAAACTGATTTAAGGAATCTGTATTGCCGATTAAAATTCTTCCCCCTCCACACACACACACACACAATGCTTGATGGGCTTTCTTCCAATGTGTTCACACAGTTCTCTCCTTGGGAAAGAGAGAGAGAGATCTTTATTAACATTTCAGGTCAGTCTTTTACTAGGTCCTACTGGTTTATCTATCCAACCTTTGAGACAAAAGGAAGTGGGAAGTCAATAGGTGTTAATGAATACTTTTTGCATAACTTCCCCCTTCTTTTCATTCTCAGGGTTATTCCAAACATGGAGAAGCTTCGAGTCCTTGTGGAAGTGCAGAAAATCCTGAATATCATCTCCCCTATGCTTTTCCAGGAATGACACCAAAGTTTCTACTCTGTGCATCACTGTCCCAAAATGTAAGGAATTTTTTCAGCTTGCACTTAGCAGTAAGGGAGATTCCAAATCTATTGCACAAGGAAACCCCTTATGCTATTACAACATTGTAAAACACAAAAGTCTTCCGCTTCAAACATTTAGTTGTTCAGGCTGGAGGATATAGTTATTGGCGTACCCCAGGGATCTATACCAATGTATCATTTATATTCATGGAAAATAAGAGCGGTTCCAAGTGAGATTCGTGGTGTATGTCACTGATCACAACTAGCCAGACACAAAAACATGCTTTTACTCCTACTCTCCTTTCAGCTCTTCAATTGTTTCTCTATTACATTTATCTTAAAACCATGCACTTTAAGTTTATTGGTAAACTCGTCAGCTTCTCAGGTTGAGGCATGTCAGTGCTAGGGAACTAAATGAGTTTTGACAGATGAATCCAATTGGATGAGGAAACCTGCAAGATGACTTGTGTCTTTTTTTCACACAATTGGTCATCAGAATGTGGAATGTTTCCACAAGTGGCTATTGAGGCTGAGATTGTAATGGCTTTTAGAATAGAATTGAATAAACATTTGAAGAAGAAGAATATAAAGAAATACAGGAAGCAAATTAAAGAGTAGATTAGATCCAGTGGATTAGCTAGCACTATTTTAGGCTCGATGAGATGGTTTCTATGATTCTGAGAGATTCACTTCAAGATCCATAAGAGAATTCACACTGTGTTTATCATCAATTTCTGCACAGAATTCGGGTGAAAGAATTTCAGTATAAATAGAATGTTAGAACCCTGTTTATTCTGTTTCCTTCAACAAAAAGTCGCATTTATATGGCACCCTTCATGTAGGATAGCATCTCAGAACACTGCACAGTGGCGGGGTTGGATGTTGAGCAAGCAGGAGGGGAAAGGTAACCATAGGCATGGTCGAAGAGGTAGGTCATAAATTGGAATTTAAAGATAGATAAAAAGGGAGTGAGGCAAAGGGATTGAGGCAGAAAATTCTGTCAGATCAGCATCAGAGTCTTTCCTGCGTAGTTGAGAATAAATATTACTAAGAGTGAATAAGAGTCTTTATTAGATAGGGCCCTGTTTCTTTGACAATAGCTGATTCCAGTCATACTCTTGTAAGAATAAATTCCCCTTTGGAATTATTGAATGTCAGATGAATATTTAAATGAAGATTATTCATAATTTTGCCATCAAGACTCCTTTGGTGGCCTGCTGGATAAAGGAATCACCTGGTGAGCACTAGACCATACAGACAATGAAGTCACACAGGTCCCAATCTCACATAGAGCTCATCTCACATCTGGGACATTAGTTGGGATAGTACACCTGGGCTAGAGAAAGGAACATTAGTCAATTTCCCTATCTGATCACTCTCCTATCCAGAGACTCCTGCTGCAAAGTGCACACATGTAATTTGGATGAGGACAGGATTGATCTAAGTGTGATTTTCCTCAGATGAATAAGCTGCCAAGACTCATTACCAAGGCCCGCGCATGAAAAATGGCTATTTGGGTGGAACCGTAACCAAGTAGAAAAAAAACGGGAGTCAAACGCCTTCAGCAAAGACAAAAATTGACTGGGGATAAAAAGAGAATGAGGCATCAAACATTTTATGGAAATAGAGAAAAATTGTATTGATTGCAACCACACACATGCTCTTCTAATAAGATCATGGAAGGGAATTTCAAAAGAAATAGCTTTTAGGCTGTCCCTTTGTACATTAAATATATTTAGTTTAACTGGGTCACAGGTTGATCCAAAAAGGAAGATTAATTTGCATGTAGAATCAAATCAGAATATTTTACAAACGACCCAGCTTTTTTGGTCATGTCAGAGAAAACTCAGGAGTTTACTGTGTTCTACGTGCTCCATATAACGCATTGGTCGAAGTGGGATAAGCGCTATACTCTCCTACACCAAGCTCCGTGAACCTATCACCCTCGCACGGCTCCACTAGCTCCCCATCCCTCAGAGGATAAAGGTAAAAAATCCTCATCCCCACTTTTAAAGCTCTTCATGACTTGCATCTCCCTACCTCTGTGACCTGCTAACTCCATACCAACCTGTCCACTCCCACTGCTCAGCAGACTCTGTCGTGCTCCATGTCCAGCCCCCAACTTGGGTGCAAATCCTTGATTATCCAGCGCCTTGGGATGGCCTCCCGACGTGAAAAGCGCTATACAAATGTAATTTGTTATTATTGTATTCTCTTTTCAATACATTTCATGAATTTGCCTCTGTGCACTTATAACAGATGCAATTTTTAAGTAAAAATAACTAAAAAATATTATAGCTGTAAAATGAGATTATACTAGTATAATTGCATTTGGTTTAAATCCACTCTCCAAAGATTCACAGCCCATATAGACAATTGTGTTACATGTAATTTTTGGATCAAAGTAATCTCCATAGCATGTTAAGCATAACACTAGAATGATACTAGGAAAACAAAATTAATATTTCAGAAGTATGTGATATTTTTAAAATATTTTTTATTTGCTTACTCCTACTTTCTCAAAGGTGGCAACTCCTGCTGTGGTTCCACGGGTAGCAGCGGATTCCAGTACCCTGCCCAAGTGGCCATTCTTTGTACGTAAGCCTGAACAGTGAGTCTTGGCAGGCTATTGAACCACAGTCAAGCCCAGTGCAATTATTATTCAACATCTACACTAGCAAAGGGTCTCTGGATAGGAAAAACCTTGGTTGATTTTCACTCTCCCAAGCACGTGATTATTGAGGTCAATTCTGGTGCTGCCTTGGTTCAGATCAGCCAATTTAAAGAAAGAAGATCCCAAGCTTGATCCCTGGACAAGGGAATAAACCTGAGTCCTTCCTGATGTGTATAGCTCAGTACAACATTACCCAGTGTATTCACTCACTGAGTCAATAGGGAAATCACATGCTTACTTAACTGAATAGGTTAAAAAGTTAATGTTGTATAGTTTAAAATATCTTGCTGAGTTACATGTTAAAAAAATCCATAGTATCATAGCATTAGAAGGTGGTAAATAATCTCAAAGCATAACATAAAAAGGTGTTACTCTGCATGAGAGCAAAAGCATGAGATCATCAACAATCGAATATCATACAGATGTGCTTTATTTCCTACCATCTGGAATCATTTGTAGAATTGTTCCATTGTGCAAAGTACTCAGGTAAAGCACCCGGGCTGCTTAACAAAGGTCACCCTTGACCTCTAAGTGAGACAACAGAAAGATTCAACTATTTGCAGGACAGCTTTTTAACAATTTCACTGCAGTCTGGAATCAGATGCTGGTAGTAGTTTTTCTCACTCAGCCAAACATTAAAAGGATCAAATGCCATGTTATTGGATACCTTTTGTTCATTTTTCAAGCGTAAGGTATGAGTATCAGCTTTCGTAGCCACTTGGGTACCTCACCTTGCAAGCTCAATGTATCAAGCATATGTAGGAATATTGAAAACTAGTTCGATTAGAATTATTATCTTCTTCCTGACAAAAGGGAAAAACTTTTTGAAAAAACAATTGCGTGCTTGACTTTAATCTGGATTAGTAGTTGGCATGAGTGCAACTTCAAGCTTCTAAAACAACTAACTGTCTAACTATCATCTTGCTTATTTCTCACATTTATATTTCTAACTTAAACAATGCATTTTTCCCAACATTGTCTACCTGATGCCCTTTATGTAGTAGAGAAATCTATGTTTCCCACTCTGAAATTGCTTTTTTAGAGGGTTGAATGAAGCTCTGCTAAGCACTTTAGTGTTATTAAAGAGCCAGAAATGGGACCAGCTCTTTAATAACATTACAAGGCTTAAACATTTTCAATTCAGTTCCTTTGCAATCGTCTGCTGCAGTAACCCAATTTATACTGCTACCAGTGTGTCAGTTTGATTCTTGCAGCTCCTGAGGTGATTTTAGGAGTGGGGCTCAGACTTGCATTAATGCTCCTAACACCTATACTGGCTATTTAGCAAAGATTTGACATGAACACACCATTAACTCAACGGTAACTCCAATAAATAAATAGGGAGTAAGATTTTGTTTGAAAATTTAGGACAAGTTGGAACCATTTTTTTGTTCATATGTTCACAGCAGTGGTTGGCTTGTTACACCTCTACATTCTCCATATTCTTTGTTTTACTTCCTTCATCAGACTTTCACAGATTGATTGCAGCAGTGATGCTGATGCAGGCAGCCATCTGTGTCACTATCTTACCAAATTGAACAAATGACTGCAACTGAATACAAGTCCAGTATAAAATAAATACTTCTATTACATTAATGAGAATGTGGAACTCGCAGCTGGAAGTTGTGGTTGTTTCAAAATGGGTCAATATTTTCAAGAGGAAACTTGAAGCATACAGGAGGGAGAATAGAATAGAGGGGTAACAAGAGGTAAATAGAAGGGATGGAAGCTCTTGTGGAGTATAAGCACAGACATGGACTAGTTGGGCCAAATGGCCTTTTTCTGCTTGGTATCATTCAATGTACTCTATGAACTGAGATCTGTAATAATTTTCCTCGTAGAATGCTCACTGTGATTGACAGTAGTTCATTACGTAGGAAGGTAAAACTAAAATATCAGTATTTTGGGAAATTTCGTAAAATTGATAGATTAATTTGAATGCACGGTGAAGTCAAATCTCATAGTATTTTTAATCTTATGAATTTGCCTTCAGAGGCAAGTCTGACCCTGGAATCATCTTGTAATAATAATTTTCTGGTATCAAATTTGGGAATTTGGGAGTTGTTCTGCGTTGCCCCATGTAGAGGAGATCTGACTCTGTACTGAGAAGATCAGCACTGTACAATTGGCTCCAATGATATTTCACACGTAATAATAATAATCATAATCCTTGCATTTGATATAGCGCTTTTCATGTCGGGAGGACGTCCCAAAGCGCTTCACAGAACACACTGTAAAGTGAATTGACTGCATATTTGTGGGCGAACGCGGCAGCAGTTGCGCACAGCAATGTCCCACAAACAGTCGTAGATTGAAAATGACCAATTTATTATTGTTTTTGTTTTTGGAGGGATTATTATTAGGCTCTGTGTGGAGTAAGGAAACTTGCCCAAGGTTTCGCCCTGCCTGGAATTGAACTCAGGTCTCTCGCTTGCAAAGCGAGTGCTCTAACCACTGAGCTACAGGACTCCACGTAGGTGAAGTAGTATGTAAATAGTGTAATGATGTCAGTGTTCGATCACAAAGCCATTATAAATTTTAATTTTGCAATGTCCGCCACCTAAATAACAATAAAAAATGAAGGGGCATTCCTTTGTTGTCCATTGTTTTAGCGGTGGAGATTGCAGACATTTATTTCTAATGATTTTACAGAGGCGCAAGAATGTAAGTCTGACTTCATTGAGCTACTTACAAAACGATGATTGAAAACAAAACATCACTTTTCCACAAGAGCTTGCTGGAAGTCCAGAGGCATTGTAAAAACAGCAAGGCTCAATACACGGCAAGCCTCCAGTGTGTTGCTGTATTTTGAGCTTCCAGGCCACAATATAAAAGCAGCATAAGTGAACTGCCCAAGTTGTCCAAAACAAATTACTAGGACCTTATCTCAGTCTACAGAGACCCAGCCAATTAAATCTGCTTGACCTGATGATCTTTCACCTCATAAATGACAGAACTGACAGGTTTTGAGTAATCAAGTTAGTGTAATGCAGACTGACATCTCAACAAGCCTGTACACGTTACTGAAACAAGCCAACGATTTAGCAAAGTGATTACTGTGTATTGTCCCAGAGGTCTTCATTATAGAAAAAATTGCTCTTGTTGCCTTGAATGCATTAGTGAAAAGCAAACTCTTTTCTGTGGGAGATTAAATGTAGCTGAAAAATTGGCAGACTTCAATAGCTAATGAAAAAAAGTTATTATAGCAAATGATTTATTAGATTTAGATTTGTAATGGTTTTAACGTTTAACTTAAGCCCTATATATACATAATATGTATAAAACAGATAGGAATTTTGGATTGTAGCAGAATCATTTTGCTTTCGCTGCAAGTGGCACAAGGAGTGGTCAAAACATTGTTTTCTGGCAATTACATTATATGAGGTGTGATGAAAAAACATTACCAGTAACGAGGGATACAACATCCATACTGTGTGAATTGGTGCTATTACTGATTCATGTTTCAAAACAAGATTTTTTACAGTAACAGACTCCAAATTATATATCATTTCAAAGAATATTGCCGTTGTGCCATTATATGTTATGACATTTTTACAATGCTGCAGTGCAGAACACAAAGCGTGCAAATGTGCTTTATTTTCAAGTTCCAACGGCACACTAATGAGGCAGCTGTCATGTTAAATGTTGTGTATCATTTAAATCACAGGGTCTTGAGAACTGCAGTGTTGTGTAACTTGTTTGTCTCATATTTTATAAGGCTGTCTTTAGAATCAAAAGTGGAATACATTTTCCCATGTTGATCGAGTGAGCAATATTTTCTCCCCAAGTCTTTGTGCTTTTTAAAGGGGTTCAAAATGATTCTTTAAAACCAATTGTAACAAAAAATATTGTACTTGTATCTCAGTTTGATGGATACGACGTATATGTATATTAGATAGAAAATTAGGAGTATGTGCGCAATATAATGTGTTGTTACATAAAAATAGTCAGGATTTCTGATCCCTTGTTAATGAGATTGCCCACTGCCGTTCCTACAAAAATGATTCAAAAAGTTGCATGTTTAAAATATTTGTAAACATGTTCCAACCAAATGTGTAACAAGTGCAAACAAACGTATGAAGCTACTTACCCGTTTCATTTCTTCCTTAGTACCTCTGTTTAAATATCCTCCTTTTCTTTTTTATTATCTGACATTTCACTTCAGTGGCCGCTTGAGATTTTTTTGTACTGTCAAATACTTAGCTTGTTCTTTTTAAGCTAAATGTTTGCAGGAGCATTTTCCCTTCCAATCTTACTGATCGCATTGGGCATTTCTTAGCATGAAAATGATTTGTGTAATATATCAGACATTGTCAGAGCAGGTACGTGGTAATGTTGCAAAGATTAAAATGGCAATAAATGGTTCAGGCAAAAAAATCCCTATAGGCAAATATATCTGATGAAATGCATTGTGCTTAAAATTAGTTTCCTAATGCCCTTTAAAGCTTAAAACATATCATTATTATATGGTAGCCTCGCTTTATTTTTTCATAACCCAATTTTCCTTATTATTTTACGCCATAAATGTCCTATGATCAATGCAATGCCATACATTTGGTGGGAAGGAAAAATCTTAGCGACCAAACATTAGCATTAGCACAATTTGGATTTTACGTGCAGGCTGTGAGTACCACAATACAAGTAAATATCAATCCATAATAGAGTTGTAATGTTTTTTATATACGGAGCTGTGAGAGAGACAGAGAGAGACTCTGAATAAACAAGTTGATGTTTCTCGGCTGGTTCATTGTATAAATTGTGTATCTCATGGGGAAACTGTTGTTTCTATTTATGTAAATAGAATCATACAATACACAGGCATACACCAGTGTGTTACTCAGTCAAATTTCTGTTGCATTAATATTATGTAACCTAGAACACATTGGTTACTGTCTGCGTTTTCTTCCCATCATGGCCACT